TCTTTCTTCTCTTTAACTGAAAATACAGTGCGAACCCGAAATTATACAGACCGAAAACATATATATTGTATATTACGACAAAGTCTTATTCAACTAGAACTACAGTAATCTAGAGGAATCATTTTATCTGGAATAAAATCATGATACAGAAAAAATCAAAATATCTTTCTTTGTTATTTTATTCACCCACAGTACTTGATACCTAACATATCAAAAATCAAAAATTTTATTTTAAAGACAAGAACCGACCCAATAGAAAAAGTAAATTAAAAAAAGAAGAAATAATCTGAATTAGTTGTGCACAAGACAACCCACCATCAGCATCCCGTGCAAGAAGATAACGCCACAATTGCGCCACACATACAGTGGCCAACAAGTAATCTGATTTAATAATATGACTACGCAAATAAATGACCTTATCGCATATGTCATCCAAATCTCCAGGTAACAATTGACATTAAAAACCCAGAAAAATAACGAATCTCCATCTCAAACCCAGACCAAAAAAAAAATAAAAATGGCCAACAAAGAACAGTTGTTATTTTTTTAACATAAAAAAAATGATTTTTTCAGTTTTGGTGAGTGAGCTACTCATACCTCGTGCTCTAGTATAATGCTCATCCTGGTAAATAGAAAAAGCTATACTACGGCTAGAACCGCCGCCGCCACCGGAATGAGGCGCCTCCGACGAAAATGAGAGCATTTTATGTCCATCTCCGTCCTCTGCCGGCAACCACGGAACGGATCTCCCGAACGGAGTACTAAATAAACTCTCTTTCGCCTTCTTCGAAGAAAAATCAACTTCCCCAGGCCTGGGAATCTTGGACAGCTTCAAGACATCATCGTTGTTGTTTTTATTCTCAGAAAGATCGGATCTTTGGTGCTTCAGTTGCCCAGATCCATGGCCATTTTCGTCCTTGGACTTATTTGAATCCAGATAAGAGGTTTGCTTATGGCACGCTAACCGAAAATCCATTTTTTCTTTGTTTTCTANGGAGGACTTAAATTTCTTGCAGCATCCTGAGAGCGGAGCATGAGTTCACTTCAAGCATCTTTCTCAGGAAGGTTTGATACGAAATGGAGTTGGAGAGAGAAAATGCGGAGTTTGGGGGAAGAAAGAGGAGTAGATTTTCTTCTTTTTGTATTATTTATCTGTGTTTGATGAGGAGAAACAAGATTGAAACTTTTTGGAAGTGGGAACTTTTTATTAATAATAAAATGAGATAACGAGAGGATAAGATCAACGGAAGACATAATTCATCTTGGACATAATAATGTTTGGCCCCAAATTTAACTAGTTTAAGGTAAGGGAGAGAGTCATTAAATTGAGAAATCGTACTACGAAGTTTAGTTTTAAGATATGGTGCTTTATTAGCTCCGCTCAAATGCACCATTCTAAATGGCATAAGTAATGGTGTTCTAACTTGTGTATATATGTAGAGTACTGATAGAACGATAGATAATGAAACAAATAAGAATAAATCAATATAATCGGATGCAGCATATTAATGCTCATGATCAAGTCAAATACTAAATATGGTAGTCAAACATGTGATGATAATTTCATAAATAAGTGTACATTATGTGGTCAAATATACCAATTGACAATTAATTAAGAGTAAAAAAGACATTACATATTTACTTATGGATTCCACTACTAACACCACTACCAATATCTCTCACACACTACACCTAAAACACACACTCACCCACACATGTTGCGCACACACGACACACACTACACACACACCTTGCACACTCACAAAACACACACGTTGCCAGCCTGTCGTCGCCACCCCACCTGCCGCCACATAACTTGCTGGCACATCCGCTGGAGATTCCATATCTGGAGCTACAACAGTCCGCCGGAAAAAGACTGTGCCACCAAGACGGTCGTCGTCGCTCTCTGCCCAATCTCCACGCCTGTCGGTCGAAGTCTCAACCGTCGAGCGCCAACCCTTGTCGTCTATCTCTTGTTCCTGTCGCCACCGGCGAAGTATTAGTCGTCCGCCACTTCAAGGAGGTGAACTTCTCGGTCATTTTTCCTTTCGTCGGTCAGGTTGTCGGTTAACGTCGACGGCGTACATCACCAGCCAATGTCGATGGCGGACATCACTATGAGTTGGCGGATATAGCAACAGGTGATGGAGGGTTAGATTTTGGGGTGTGTTCTTGAGATTTTGATTAGATGTAGGGACTTGATTGCAATGATATAAACATCTAATATATTACAATTGAGGACATGGCTTAAATGTGTAAATAATAAAAATATAATTATTATTTTAATACATGTACTTATTGTTATTAATATATATAAAAATAATATTTTATATACTTTTGTCGGTTCGGGGATTTTATAAATTTTAAAAATTAAAACCCGGCATGAAATAACTGTGTTTTTAGTAATAAATACAAATAAGTGAACCGAAATATAAAATTTCAAACAGAAAATTTTAATCTGGTCGATATTGTGCAATATGATAGTCATTAATGTGCATTTTGTATAACCATAATGTGCACTGCAATACATAAAACACATAGAAATAAAAAAATATTTTTTAAATAGTTCGACTGAGTTGGTTATTTCATTTATTTTAAAATAATAAGGCCGACATTAAATAGAAATAACCGTGATTTTATAAGTAAAGATAAATAATAAAAACCAATACAAAATTTTGAACCGAAAATTCTAGTTTGTTCTGATTTGGTCGATATATGTGCAATATTATAGTCACGAATGTGCAATCCGTAATACAGTAATGTGCACTCACATTGCATGCTTTTTTAATCCAAACAAATTAAAAAATAACCGAAATAATTGTTTTATTAGTTCGATTAACCAAATTAATCTAAATAACCGAAACAATTTATAATTTATATTATAAAAATATATTTAGTATTTTGATATTTTTATTTAATATTTTTTTTGGTTGAAAAGTTATAACATATATATAATATTATTTTTTATATAGTTCGATCGGTTGATTATTAAAAAAAATCGAAATCAAATCGAAAGAACTATTTTTTTAAAAGTAAAAAACGAACACCGAACCAACATACATAAACCGTATAAAAAATATATTTTGGTTCATTTCGGTCGGTACATACGCTAAAGTGCAATATCACATACATGAAAGTGCAACATTTAAGTCATTAATGTGCACGTTTTTTGGCCGCCACTGTGCAGTGTGAAAAGACTGAACTTTTGTCCTAACCAAATTGAAACCGAACACTAACGTACATTTCAATATTAAAAAAATTGAATAATGCATATTTTAATTAAAATTATGTACATTTATCAAATTATTTGTGTAATAAAATATATTTAGTATTTATAATATTTGTATTTAATATTTTATATTATTAATTTAATTAACATTATCGTGCATTTGTTATGTTAAAGTGCAATCTTCCTAACACAAAAGTGTAGCCCGTCAGTCAATAATGTTCAATATGTCCGATAATATTTTAATATTTTATCTTTTTTTAAATTTAATATTTTTTATTTATTATTTCATGTATTTTAAATTTAATATTTTTTATTTATTATTTAAATTTAATATTATTTCATGTATTATAAAAATAGTATACTTATATATACATTTTAGAAATTACATATTTGACCCATGGGTTAAATTGAAATATAAGTAAAATTATTAAACTTACAACTAGATCCCTAAACATAATATAATTCTCAAAATAAACCCCCAAATCTCACATCCATAGAAACTGAGTTTTCAGCTGCCGCCTGTATTAGCGCCATCACTCCCGTCGGTGAGGGCACGAGCTTCTGGCGGAGGCGGACCATCCGGCGAGGGCCCCGTTCGAAGCTTTCCACCCAGGTCGCCGGTTGAATGTGTTCAGAGACTGTAGTGAAGTCGGCGGGAGTCGTCTCAGTCACCTCCTCCAACATCTCCGCCCTACGCCTCCCTAGTGACTCCGTCGTCTCAGTCACCTCCTCCAACATCTCCGCGACACAAGGGATCCAGTTAGCGTCTCCATGGTCGGCCTCGTCCTCAACAACCTCATCACTCGTCTTGATTCTGGTGAGAATACAGGCGTCGAGGGAGACGGCTAGCGACAGAGCCAACCCGCGAGGCGATGTGGTTATCTTCTCCGATGGATGTTCACTATGACGAACTTTATGTGTGCAGTCCTGCGGCGCCTGAAACCAACAGAGGAGAGCGGCAGACGCGGCGGCGTTTTGGGTAAGAGTCGGGATGGAGGTTTATTGTGTGCTTTTCTCTATTTTGGTTTTCTATGTGTTTGTCGTGTGTTTTTTTCAAATTTTCTTCGTTTATGGTGTGTAGGTCAGAAGCTTCGAGAGGACCGGATTTTGGGAAAAAATCGGCCGAGAAAGCATAGTTGAATAGAAGGGTTCGTTGGCGACGCGTAGCAAAAAACAGAACTCAATTCCGAGTTCGGACGAGCCCAAACGAGCCCGAAACGTAAAGTCATGCAGTGCATCCAAAGTCGCGGCTCGCAGCCAAAGTCGCGACTCGCGACTTTAACAGTGCCAAAGTCGCGACTCGCGAGTGCAAAGTCGCGACTCGCGACTTTAACAGAGCCTCCGATCAGCCCCGCGACCATGCCAACTCGCGACTCGCAAATCGCGACCTAGTTGACCCTGTTTTTTATTTTTTCTGTTTTTTCTCATTTTTGCTCGATTTTTCGAGCCCTATATATTGGGATGACTCCCAGTCTTGATAAAACATCCCCAATCTCATTCTTTTCTATTTTTCTATAAAAAAAAACTCCATCTTTCACCTTGATTTCTTGGTTGCTTTTGGACTAAACTTGTAATTCGGATTCAAGTTCAATTTCTCTATTAATCGTAAGTCTTTCTTTTCATTTAATTGATGAAAATAATTGCTTGGGTTGTGATTTTTAATTGTGTCGAATTTGATCTACATAGCTAAATCCGATTGCTAGGAATAGGGGATGATTGTTCTTGTTTAATTCGTAATTGTTGGGCTTTAATTTGTTCGTTCTTGTGCGAGTTGAATTGATTAGGAATTGATGAATTCTTGCTTGATTGATTGATATAATCAAAGAGTGACACTTCGATCTTGCAATTGGAAACGATTGGATATTGATGTGTCTAGTTAGGGTTTTGTTGATTCTAAACGATTAGTTGATTAAATACCTTCTAATTTAATTAGCGAATTTTGGAACCGAAAGGGGAGGAGTTGTAGAACTAGGCTCGCACGAGATAGACGATTTCGTAATTGAATAGTCTATAGGTTTCGGATTGAAGTACACGCTTGTCGATGTCCCTTCCCTTGTTACGAAAAGTTATTGGGATTGGACTATTGGCCGGTGTTGTATGCTCGAACTTGCTTGTCTATGTTCAATCCTTTGTTACGAAAAGTTAATGGGAGCGAACCGCTAGATGTTTAAGTGAGAGTGTCAATCTTGAACCGAACGATTAATTGTCTGGCTTTACGTTTCGAACTTGAATAAATTATCCCCGACTCCCTAGCTTCTTTATCATTGTTCCGTTTATATTCTTTGTATGATTTATGTTCTATATTATTTCTTAGTTGATAATAATTCCAATCCATCTTGATTACTGTGTTTAGTATTTATTTTGCTTTTGTGTGCTATCAACACCATTTCTAGATTCCGAACCACATTCCTCGTGAGATCGACCCGAGGAACGAATCTTTTGATTCGATACTCGGTAAAAAGAAAATAATTTGCTACAACATGTGTTGTGTGTGATGTGCGTGTATGATATTGTGTGTGTGACGTGTGTGTGTTGGGTGTGTGCGTGCATGTGGTTTGTGTGTGTGAGTGTGTGTTGAGTGTGTAAACGTGGTGACGTGGCGGTTGGTAGTGGGAGTGTATGAGAGATAGGGAAAGAGAGATATGAAATGTGTTAGGTGATGTGGCATGAGTCCCACTGTTCGTGTGTGAAAAAATACCACATCACCGTTAATGAAAATATAATTTTGGCTTTTTTTTAGCCATAGATCATCCGATGTATTGACTACGATGTATTATTATTTATTTCACTGAACACCTTTCTCACTTGAACCCAAAATATGCATACTTTAGGTTGAAGCAAGTATTAATATTTATCGACAATTAGGGTTAGAAACAGTCCAAAAAAATAAAAAATCTAAACTTATATAAAACATTATTTCTACTGCATGGAAACATTGAAAAAAAAAACTTCATTAAATTCATTTAATTAATTATTTGTAAGAAAATGCACAATTTGACTCAATTTTTCTTTTGCATTTAGTTTAGTACATTTCGGTGCGAAACTGCACCAAATCGAGAAAATAAAATGAATTGATGAAAGAATAATAACTAAATTGTACCATAGTACAGAAAAATCGAACTGAAACCGAATAAAAAAATATCAATTTGATTCATTTTAAAATGTGCGACATTCTGAATAAAATAAAATATTTTTAAAGTCATTGTCAAATGAAATAAACTCGTAGAATCAACATTATCTTGTTGATACAAGTGCCATCAAATAAAACTATATTGAGCAAATAGCTATTTTACCATCGTTCTCAAGATGAGCTAAGTGCAAAACAAATTACGCGAAGAGAGGCGAAAATAATTGATAAAGTGCGAAATATTTATGCGATAAATTGTACGACTGACATGTGAAAATAATTTATAAAGTGTAAAATATTATGTGATAAACTATGCGAAAGACATGCGAAGTTAGTTGATAACGTGCGAATAATTATGCGATAAAGAATGCAATAGACAAATGAAGTTAATTGAGCAAGTGCAAATTACTTATGTGATAAACCATGTGAAGATAAGTGACCGAATGCGATCTCATTATTCAATAAATAATGCGATAGACAGACGAAGGTAATTGAGTAAGTGTGAAATAATTATGAGATATACTGTGCGACAGACATACGGAGATAATCGAGCAATTGCAAAATTGTTATGCGACAGAAAGATGGAGATAATTGAATGCAACAGATAGACGAAGTTAATTGAAGAAGTGCGTAAATATTACGTGATAAACTATGCGACATGTAGGCGACAAAGATGAAGATAATTGAATGCAACAGATAGACGAAGTTAATTGAAGAAATGCGTAAAAATTACGTGATAAACTATGCGATATATAGGTGACAAATATGCAGATAATTGTGTGACAGTTCGGTCAATCGCGTGTATGTCACATTTTAGTCACATATTAGCTTGTTGCAATTGTTTTTACGTTTTTCTAGTTTCTCCCCAATTATCAACTTTTTGTGTAAACCCTAGAAAGGTTGTCCTCACGAGAACATTGTACCCGAACCACGTGGAGAAGGTTTTCAAGATCTTGAATTTCTAAAGTTTCTAAGAATGGAAATCCTCAAAGCAGTGAGGCAGACGATCGTGGGTCAAGCCGAGGTCAACAACCGGAGGAACTTGATGAATAACAATAGGGACAATGACTTGTATAAATCGATCGAGCATACACAGATCAAAGACGAGAACCATGAAATTAATATATGAATCTGCAATCAGGGTGAGGAGGTTGACGATCTTAACCATGGAAAATATAATGCGTATGTGTGTGTGTGTATTATACATAGTGATAGGGATGTGGGTAAATTTTCTTTGACTTCATTCATATAGTATCTATATAGACACGCAACATTTCAAGTTGCCTCATAATCGTTTATGTAGTATTTATTGATACGTGACGTTTCAAGGCATGCTGAAACGACAATTTAAATGACGAGTTTGTTTCGGATAATGCTAGTTATTATGCGACTGTTTTGAATCGTAGAATCATTATTTTATTTATTTTATTAAAAATGTGTCGGAACTGTGATCCGAAAAATCATTATTTTTATTTTTTCACTAAAATATGTGATTCTTAGGCGAAACTTTATACTCATAATTAATTGCTTATAAATTTATTTATTTTTTTAAAAAATTCATAAATAATCTGCGATTATTACACGAAAGTTTTTTTGACACATTCAAAGCGTTTTATATACACTACGATAGACTATCAAACAAATACGATTGTTTTGAATCACAGAATCATTATATTTATTTCTTTTATTAAAAATGTATCAAAACTGTGATCCGTAGAATCATTAATTTTACTTTTTTAATAATATAAATGATTCTTATGTGAAATTTTATACGTATAATTAATCCCATATTAAATTATTTGAAATTATATTGTTTGTGAATTCGTAAGTGATCTGCGGATATTCACCGCATAGTTATAATTAAATACAAAAAGAATCAAAGCATTTTAGATATGCTAAGACAAACTGCCAAAAAGATACGAATATTGAATCATAGAAATGATTGTCCAAACAAGTGATTGCCTAAAAAATGCGAGTCATTATGCAAATGTTTTGCGTCATACTTAGTAATAATATTTTTCAGATTATAAATTCAAATTTTGCGATTAAACTGCATAAGAGATACGTTGGAATTGTGATCATATTAAAATATGCTATTATTAGGCGAAACATTAATGCCGTGGTTTCCATTAACCTATATAATATAATAGGTTAATTTGATAATTAATATATAGGTATATTAATGCTGAAATCAATTGGTAAAGTTGTAACCAGTCATTTAATAGTTCTTATTTTTAGTTTATATATTCTTTAAATAAATTGATTACAAATTTTTCTAGCAATATTTGTAGGTTTTAATAAAAAAGATTATCATATAAAATATACTTTATCGAGTCAGAATTGTATATGTTTACATAAAAATATAAATGTCTTCATTTTAAATAAAATTTAAAGACTCAGATAGTAGTAATAATAGTAATAATAATAATAATAATAATATTTATTGTCTCCTATATAAATATTATGATTGTATAATAGCACAAAGCCATTTAACTATCATTAGTAAAATGAACCACATAAAACCATTTAACTATATATGAATCTGAATATTAGTTTCATAAAATTTAATAGATAATGTAGTTTTTATATTATCTTAATTGGTTGAAAAATATTAAATAATTATTATAAAATTTATTTTATGATATTTTAAGGGGTTTGGCTATTCTACTAAAGCAAATTAGCTTATTTAAAAAGAAAATTTCTTAATGTGATGAAAAAAATATAATATTAATTTTAAAATAAATAACTCGAAGAAACAAAGTTGAAATATAATCTTTTATTTTATGTAATTTTCATATATCATTTCATTTAAATATAACTAATTAGTTTTAGTAGTATCTATTATATAATAGAATAGTTAAAAGATATGATTATCACTTAAAGTAAAATATAACTATTTGGACTATAATTAGCAATAAAAATGAGAAAATGAAGATTTTGGCATTTAATTAGTAGCCTAAAATTATATATATAATATAATTGTACTGATTTATTGTATAATAATTATTACTGAAATGAAATAATTATAAATTAACACTAAAAGTTTATCTATCGTTTCGGCAAAAAAATAAAAACACTAAAAGTTTATGAAAGTTATACACTTATAAATAATATAAAAAAATTTATAGCAAAATTTTGTTTTACAAGTTATTCATTTTAAAATTAATATTATCATTTTATTTTATCTCATTAAGCAATTTTATTAATAGTTAACTCGTTTAGCAGATCAATTAAAATTTCATAAATGATAATAATAATAATAATAATAATAATAATAATAATAATAATAATTTAATACTTTTTTCAACTAACTTATTGATCACGATCCCTTAAATTTGTAACATATGATGTTCATTATGTTTTATGTCATCTTTATAGTGATTTATATAAGTAAAATAGTTTATAGTAATATAGTTTATTTTTACCAAAAATCAAATTTATAAAATATGATATGCATATTATATAACCTATAACTATATATATGGAATACAACACCGGGTCGGCTTGACCTGAGAAATCGGCTGACTGAACTGAGTAAACTGTTCGGTCGAACGGAGATCAAAGGAGTTATAGGTCGAAGAGTCTTCAAGTCGATGAGTACATCGCAGATCCATAGAAGCACCGACATGTCGAGTTAGGACCCTCGGAGGCCTACTTGAAACTCGACCTGAGGGCATGTCTGGTCGAAGAATCGACCAAAAGACCAGAGCATACGAGCTTAGCACAAAGGACACTCTAGCTCGAGGCGTGTCGATTCGGTTGCACGATTAAGTCGTCTAATTAGCCAGACTAATGGATAAAGAATAATATTATTAAGATAAGAACCACACATCAATAGGGTCACGACTCACGTGGCCTAACAGAACTTGGCAGCTCGAGCAGCACAGACGGACAGTTCGGGCAGTCTGGTCAGCCCATCCGGGCAGTCTTAGGCAACAATGTAACATGCCTATATATAAATGGGTGAGGTATGTCTATTTACACTCTACATTCTGTACACACTCTATACTTACATAGCTTCACATACACCGTTCATCGTCTTTTTTAGTTGTGGACTGATTTGATCGTTTGAGTACTAACGCTGGCAACCCCTTTCGACCTATTTTGCAGGTCTACGAACAAGTCGGAGCACAAATTCAAGTCATGTGAGCCAGAAAGAGGTGGTTTGCACACCATATATATTGTTTTATTTGTATTTGTATATGTACATGATTACTAGTTTTTAATAAAAACGAGTAAAAGCCATTCAATATTATAAAATAAATGCATTCCGATGGAGAACCACTAGAGCACCCACAATGTTTTGGGTCTCTTAACAAAAAATTACATGCCACATGGGAAATAGACTTAGTCTATAAAAAAATATTTCCCAATGCAATTAAAAATGGACATGGTCTAGCTTATGTGGCAATGAAAAAAAGAGACTAAGTCCACACTTAGGTCTATTTTGGACCCAAGTACAAACCCAAACACTCATCATTTGTTCTTAATTTTATTTTTTTTAATGAATAAAACATATTAGAGCATTTCTATTGGTTGACATGTATGCTAGACCTAGTCTCTTTATTTTTGCATTACAAAATTTTTGAGTTTTTTTACTTGTGTTTGTCCATGTCATTTAAAACTCAAGTCCAATTATATGCCACATATACAAAAAGAGACCCAAAGCATTGTGGATGCTCCTATAATATTAGTGAAGACAAAATGAAGAGGAAGGAACAAAGGAGTACATTGAGCATCAATTTGACCCGCAATAAAAAGAAAGGTGTGGTAATATGGGGAATTCATATTTTAGGTTGGCGGTGTTATTAACTGATGAAAACTAACTATAAGTAGCGCAGTTCAATTTTAAGGCCATTTAGCTCAATAAATGTGAAGTGCTTTTGATGCTTCAAATTTTACATAAATGTCAATTGTTGCACTTCGGGTTGTACTTCGTAATTATTATTCTTGTGACGTTTTGACTGTACGAAACTTTTCATAGCAAAGTTTGACCACGTGTTTTATTGAAACTAAATATTTGTAGTTATTTTACTTAATTATAAATAATTTAAAAGTTATTTAGTAAAAGAATTAAATGGAGAGTGCTTTATAATAGTTAACTTGAT